GAGGTGAGGCGAGTTAGTCGCCGTCCTCAAGGACGCGTGGTCTGTGTAGATCACAAAGGGCGTAGAGCCCAGAAGGTGAACACGGAACTTCACAAGGGCATATTTCATTGCCAGGAGCTCCTTGTCATGGACAGGGTAGTTCCGCTCGGCGGCTTTGAGCTGCCTGGACTGGAACGAGATGACTCGTTCCTGTCCAGCCGTGTCGTCCTGCAGCAATGCACACCCGATGGCGTAATCGGAGGCATCGCAGACGACGCTAAACGGCTTCGTCTCGTCCGGCAGGGCCAGGACAGGGGCCTCTTGGAGACTGGCCTTGATGCTGTCAAAAGCATTCTGGTGCTCTTGCTCCTAGCGCCAGTCGACGTCCTTCTGAAGGAGGCTCGACAAGGGCTTAGCGAAGCCCGCGTACCCAGCGCTGTACTTGTGAAGGTAGTTGGCCAAACCCAACCACTTTCGAAGATCCTTCTGGGATCGTGGCGTCGGCCATGCTGCTATGGCCTTGACCTTGTCTGGGTCAGCCCGAACGCCCACGTTGCTGACGAAGCAACCGAGAACTTTAATCTCTGGTGACGCGAAAACGCACTTGTCGATGTTGGCGTAGAGCTTGTTCGCTCGCATCACGTCCAACACTCGACGGAGGTGTCCTAGATGCACTTCCATGGCCGTCTTGCCTCCCTCGGCACGGCTATGGACGAATATGTCGTCGAAGTACGTCTGTACGAAGGTACGCAAAGGGCGGAACAATTGCGTCACCAGGCGATTGAACGTCGCCGGGGCGTTAGACAAGCCCTGCGGCATGACGAGCCACTCCCAAAGCATGCCGCTTGGAGTGCTTACCGCGGTGAGCGGGATGTCACTCTCTCGCATCAGGATTTGGTACTATCCGTCTACCAAATCCAGCGCACTGTACAGTACGCTCCCGGCCATGTTGTTCAACAACACATCTTTTCGTGGGATCGGTGTTTGGGCCGGCACCGTTGCGTTGTTCAGCTTGTTATAAGCGTGAACCAGACGCCACTTTCCGTTCGGCTTCCGAACGCAGAAAGTCGGCGTCGAGTGCGGGGATTTCGATTCCCGCACCATGCCTGCCTTCGCTTTCGCGGCGAAGAAGGCATCAATGACCTCGCACTGTTCGCGCGGGAGAGGCCATTGCCTCGTGACACAATACTTTGTGCCGGGCACGAGATCAATCTCGTGCCGTACGCCTCGATCCGGTGGGAGTTGGGTCGGTGGGTGTTTGTTCACCACGTCCGCATACTCCGTCACCAAAGGATACACCGGATCCTTGGGGTTCTTGAGAATCTCAGAACCCAAGCGCGCCTGACGCTGCTTGTTCATGTCTTCCAGGACGTTCTCGTCCAAGACAGAGGAGGAGTTCAGCTCCTCCTGAGTGGTCTCAGGTCTCATGAGTACCATCTCAGCAATCTCTCCAGCCTTGAGGTTGGCCAGGAAAGACTCAGCCGACATTTCCTCGAGGTTCAGTATCTCCGCAACCTCTGGCAACGGTTCCAAGTAGACACCAGATGCCTTGACGGGTAAACCTGTCTCGCCATCGAAGATGTGATAACACTCTTCCACCGGCCTTGTCGGAGGAGCCCGGGCCCTGGACTCCGAGTCGCTTGAAGCGACGTCGATCGGAACGAAGTTCGGATCCGACTTGAGGCGGCGGCGGTGTCTTTGCCGACGGCGTCTGTGACGGGGAGCTTTGCTGCCCACGTCTAGGGATGTCGTCGCTACGACATCCGAGGCACTCGTGGCCTCGTGTGCTACTGTTGTACCCACACAGGAAGCGTGTTCAACGCCTTCCTCTTCAGTTAAGGTCTGGGCGACCGCGTGTGGCACTGTGTTACCCACACAGGAAGCGTATCCGACGTCTTCCTCTTCAGTTAAGGTCTGGGCGACCGTGAGTGGAACTCTGTTACCCACTCTGAACACGCTGTTCTCAGTGTTCATGACAGCTGCAGCTGTCTGCGGAACTAAGTTACCCGCCTGTGGACCTAAGTTACCCACTTGTCCGACGCCTCTTCTGGGCGCGGCCACCATCAAAACATCCTTGGAGTCGTCATATACGTCGACGACTCCCAAGCATCTGCCGGATGCTTTGGTACCCTGGCAGCCCTCGCGGGCGCCCCGGGTCCTGACAGAGGTGGGAACATGACTCACCAATGCTCTGTCGGACTGCGCAGGGCGGCTGGCACCGATTGCCTTGCCTCGCCAGTCGATCCAGGGCTCGTGCTTCTCAAGCCAGGGCATGCCCAGGATCATATCATATGGATCCATATCGAGAACAGTGAACTGTTCGAGGCTGTCAAAGTCTTCAAACTTGACAGCCAGATCCACTTGGACGTTGGGGACAGTGACGACCTTCCCGTCGGCCAGTCGCACTGACACCGTCCCGTTGCCCTTGCTTTCTCTCAAAGCTTCGGACAACTTGTTGCTGTTACGAGCAACCGTCTGGCGGCGTGCGAAATTCTTCGACGCCCCAGAGTCAATCAAGATTCTAAAGGGATGATCGTATCCCCGTACACATCCGTGTACTACGAGCAACCCGCCGCTGCTCTTCGCCGATTCGAGAGTGCGAAGACTCTTAGCTAAGTCCCCGTGGTACGCGCCACCCGCGCACCCATCACGAAGACTTAGTTCTTCCCCAGTAGGGCGCCCCGCCCCTACTGGTTCCCTGCGTTCCCCTGTCCCCGGGATCCTGGCTTCTGCCAGCGACCCTTGAGGACGGGCTTGGGGAAGGACCGTCTGCGGAGTCTTTCCGCGGGACAGTCGCGCTTGAAGTGGCCCATCTTCCCACAGCCGAAGCAGCGGATGTCACGCTGTTCGGCGGACCCGAGTTCCATGGGAACTGGTCCGTTGGGGCTTGTTCGACCGGGAGCCGACAAGGAGCTCCCAGGCCACGCTGAGGCCGGCGTACGCGCCTGGCGATGGCTGTACTCTTCTTGAAGAGCCACTTGAACCGCCTCTTCAAGAGTGCTTGCCTGCACCCGGAACAGCTGAGTGCGTGCGGGGCCCACTCGAAGGCCGTCCATGAACACAGTCATCTTGATGTGTTCATTGAATGGGTTTCCCACTAGGGACGCCGTGAGCTCCCGTATCTCTTGCACATACTCGTGCAGTTCGCGCCTTCCTTGTTTAGACGCGAGGAAGCGCGAACGCTGGCGGTACTCGTAGTTCGCCGGGAGGAACGCGGCTCGGAGCTGTTCGCACAGCTGAGCCCAGGATGTGAAACATCCAGGGGATGTTGCTTCCCGAGTGTACACCCAACTCTTAGCACGACCGCTAAGGTTGGAGAGTGCAAAAGCAACACGCAGCTGCTCGGTCGAGATCAGAGCCGCGTCCATCGCGAGCTCTACTTCTCGGACCCAGAAGTGAAGGTTCTCGCCTTCCTTCCCTTCATACGGCTTTACCTTCAGCCGTATTGGCTTCGGGTGAGGCGGATTTGCTTCCGCCGCCGGAGCCTGCAGGTTCTCCCGCACATACGCGATGAGGCCCTGCTCGTACGCGTCGAATGCATTGACGCGCTCGAGCTGCTCAGCCGGTGTTGAGACCACCAGGCTCTGCAGGGCCTCCATCCCGAAGATGCCTGCCATCTTCCGAACCGACTCGAACTGAGAGTCGTTCAAATGGGAGAAGTCGTTCCTATCCATGGCAACGAACTTCGGAGGTTCAGGTAGTCTACCCGCGATGGCGTGGATTGACTACAAGTGCTACCAAGTGTGACGGGGTCACACAGCACCTTGCGCAAGAGGAAGTTATCTTCCGAGAGTATACAAACTCTCAGTGAACGGCAGTTCACAGGTCCCCTCTTTTATTAAAGAGAGCGAAGTGACCCAAATAAGGTAGATTGTAAACTGAGTATAGTTATAGGTAGATTAAGTTTGGGTTTAATACAAACTGTTAGCTACCTATAGAAATGCAATGTCATTTAACCAATGGTTGGCTTTGAACGACCTTGGTACCTTGTACCAAATATCTCGGAGTATGACTTGTCATACTTCTGAAGTGTGAAGTGTCACACTTCATGTAGCCGGGGTACACTTAGGGCTACGTACCCCGTTACACTATCGAATGTATCAGGCTTCACATTCAATAGAAAAAGGAGAATGTAGCGCTCGTGCGGGTGCATGTGCTCAATAATATTGACACATTATGTGCCCCCTGGCATTATTGGTACATGTAATATAATTCAGTATTTTAATAGTCAACCGCATCGATAGATACGGCGGCAGACTCAAGGAAGTCTCTGTTTGATAGCGGTCCAACAATCCAACGGCTTTTCGACTGCCCACCACGTTAACAAGCCAAAAACCGCCTCAAGGTTTGAGGTTGTTGTAATGAAGGAGATACAGCGCAGCGTTTCCTGCGCAACAACTAACCCATTCGCTAACTGTTAGCTGAGATGTTAAGAGGTAGAGACTCTACCTCCTAACTCTACTAGAACAGCCAAATACAGTTTTTCGCAAAGCCTACGTCTACTTGATCGAGACCGCTTTGTTTACATAAATTACAGCGTGCACGGGCGTGGAAGATGTCTTCAGCGCACTAACACCCTTCTGAGCTATAAATGACGCGGTTCTTGTAAGCCGGTCGACGGCGTCCACTGAACGCGGTCCACAAACCTTGAGTACTGTAAAACAACCAGACACCGAGCAGGCGCAGCATCTTTCGCGCTGCAACGACCACGCGATTTGTCCACAAATCGACCTCGTCGCGAGTTCTGACCGTTTTGCCCCCCGAATAATACAGTGTACATGTACAGTACGCAGCATTGCCTTGCGATCCCACTTCTCAATATACCTCACCGAAACGAGATGATGCAGGTCAACGTCGTTTATCCGCCCAAGCCGTTCGCATTATCTGCAGCAGAAGCTATTACCTTGGAGAATCAAGCAGATCAGCTTGTAGCGGAGACCTTACGCACACACGACGACTACATCTCTCAAGGACGCGTCGTGGACCCAACCCGATGGAAGGTCGTCAAGGAGAAACACAACATGACGGCGTACCGGACACGGAAGCGCGCGTCCACACGGTTCGGTCGAAACCGCGTCCCCAGTGACGAGACTGAAGCCGTCACGGCGTCTCCTCAGATGCCGTCGTTCTACCCCGTTCTGGACAAGAAAATGGAACATGCTTTATCGGAGACGTATCCGAGCGTCACATTTTTAGAAGCCGATTCAGAAGACGAGCTTCTAGATGAATTCAGTTATGTGGATGTACTCGAACAGAATGTGTTGGAGAAAACCAGGCCCGACCGGGTCCCGCTGGTGTTTTGTACGGGCGTCGTGCCGGGTACAGTTGAAGACGCCGCGTTAGGTTTCTTCGCGGATACAGACCAACGCGGCTTGGCGAGAGAGTCGTATACTAGAGAGGTGATAACCGACGACTCGAGGGTCCTCGCGCGGCTTCAAGGACCTACGCAAGACGACCCGTTCCGCTTCTTAGGCGTAAAATGGTGTGTTCATACAACGCGTGGTGCCGCTGGACGCTTCATCAAGCCTCGAGACTTTGTGATTATTGAATCTACGGGTATGGCGCTTGATTCAGACGGTGTACGGTTCTCCTACTTCCTGAATCATTCGATCGAATTGGATAAGGTTCCGGATTTCCGGAACTTCGGGAATGTTCGAATCGTATTCTCTGCATGCCACATTATACGGCCACATTCCACAGGAGCGATCGAGACCTTCAGTCGAGGGTTCATGGACGCACGAGGAAAAATATCTGAGAGGTTGTGCACGTACGTGTATTGCGACGGATTGATGACAGTGCCGCAAACCGTGGAAGAGGCGTATGCCAAGAAGTTAGTGTGGTCATTTGAAGCTCAACGCCGAGCAGACAGAAGTCGCCGATTGGTGTCGTTAATGGTATCCGACACGTGTCCGTGTTGCAATCAGAGATTGCACACAGGGTTTGCCAAACTCTTGGACGGGAACTGCATGTGCCAGCTCTGTAGGAAAACCATGTGCCGCAAATGTACGGTCAAGAAGACGTTGCCCTTGGATGCCAGTACGAATCTCCAATCGACGCACAAGGCCATGGACTTTTGTCTGGGTTGCTATCTTGAAGCTAAGAACCTCCCGGCGTGGCACGTTGCCATGGAGATGCGTGCAATGACCCCATAAACACCTTCGCGATGGCTACACTATTCCTATTGGAGCGCAAGAATCAAGATCTTGAACTTCAGTCTTCAGGCTGAAGTTCTGCCATCAAAAGTTCGCTCTGCTCCATGGAAATTGTCGCAGTGTGCTCGGGCTCTGTTGAGCTGCGAAGCAACGTGCCGCCGCCCCATTTTCTGCCAGACTCCTGCCATCTTTGTGTCTCGCCTATCCCGAGTTAGGGATGCCAACCCTCAGCCTCAACATCACATCGTCAAAGCCAAGGTCAAGTCAGACATCCAATTGTGATAATTTAAGCCAATTCGGCTGCTTCTCGAGATCGGATTTGGCGGTGCATCAAGCGCGGATACACACCAGCCGATTCCAAACTTTTGCGGCTCGTAAACGTTCGTCACTCGGCAATTCTCTTCGCGTTAGAGTGATGGATAACAGTGGAGTCGTGTATCCTCCTACGCCGCTGGAATTGTCACCCGAAGATGCACGGATAATCGAGATGATCGCCGATCGACTCGTAGCTGAGACTTTACACGCTAGTGAGGACTTTGCAGCCCTACGACATGTGGTCGACCCCAGCAGCTGGAAGCGAATCAAAGAGAAAGACAGCATTGTAGCCTACCAGAACATTTCAGATCTCCGCTCTACCAAACGCGAAAGAGTCTGGAGCGAAGATACCGTCGTGGTCGCAGCATCCCCTCAGAATCCCACCTTCTACCCTAGTAACCGATCCCTGGAAGACGACATGTTCCGAGAAGGTTTCCATAATATCGACGACTACGACTCGGAGGACGAGAGGGGTCTGCATCACGACGACTTTACGAAATTTGGAGCCAAAGCTGGAGCGGAAATCAGCGTTCTTGAGAAATTTCGACCTGCCAACGTACCGACGGTATTCTCGCATGGAGTTGTACCTGGCACGGTAGAGGACATGGCGTTCGCCTTCTTAGCAGATACAGACGAGCGTAGTCGCACGCGGTTCAACACGAATAAAGACAATTTGGTGGAAGACATGAGGATTCTAGCACATATCCAAGGCCCCACCAAGGAGGATCCGTTCCGGTTCCTTGGGATCAAGTGGTGCACTAGCCTGCCTAGTAGAACAGTGTCCCTGATAGTGAAGCCCCGAGACTACTTGATCATCGAGGCAACAGGCATGGCGCTCGACTCGAACGGAGAACGCTTCTCTTATCTACTGAACCACTCGATTGAGTTGGACCAAGTGCCTGATTTTCGAGATTTTGGACTCGTGCGTACAGTTTTCTCGGCTTGCCACATCATGAAGCCATATCAGAACGGAGAGGCCGTGGATGCGTATTCCAAAGGATTTCTGACTATTGGAGGCAACTTTAGTGTACGTCTTAGCGCGATTCAGTTCGCTGAAGGCCTTATCACTTTTCCTCGCGTGTTGGAGGAATCGTATTTGAAGAAACTGGCGTGGCTGATGCACGACCAGCATCGATGGAGCTCCAGTAGCGGTAGCGCGAGCGAAGGCAGCAGCTTCAGTAGCAACGGATCAAGGTCGTTACTGGACAAAGTTGGTAACTGTCCGTGTTGCCATGGCAAACTTTCGTCACGAAGACGGGGAGGGTTTATGGACAAAAACTTGGGTTGCAGGCTGTGTCGAAAGGTCGTTTGCCACAAATGCACCGTTAAGAAAATGTTGCCAGTGGACGGCGCACGTGGACGCCACATGAAGAAGAAAGAGCGCGAGTTCTGCTTGGACTGCTACCTCAAGGCGAAGAGACTACCTGCGTGGCAGGTAGCAGTAGCAACGCTAACAAAGTAATTAAAAAAAAATAGAGACCGATAGATTATGAATGAGCATTTTTTTTCTTATGCCCAGTGGCAATTGTTGCGCATTACAACAACATACTATATGTACTACTACATGTACTACAAGTATTTTTTTGTAGTATTAATGTAGTTGTAAAATACTACGTACTGTAGTACTAAGAGGAGTGAGCTGTCTTTACCGAAGTCACCGATGACATTTGCGTTTACGACTGGTGGGTTTCGAACTAAAAGTAACTATTTGATGGGTTAATTGCCTACTTTGGCAACGTTGCCACTGCAACTCTTAGCGCCGACAGCTTCTTTGCTTTCAGGTAGCAAGTTAAGCAAAAGTCGAGGCTCTTCTTACTGGCCATATCGATGGGGAGGTTCTTCTTGACGGTGCATTTCTTGCAGACTTTACATCGACACAAGAAGCACGTCGAGTTGCTCTCGAGCAGCTTCTTGAAGCCTTTGGTAGGGAGTTTATGACAACACGCGCAGCCTTCGTGCGGGTCGTCGCCCTCGTGGCAGTTCTGTCGTCGAGCGTACGCATGGACGAACCACGCCAGTTTTCTTAGATACGACTCCTCTACCACCAGAGCCGTATCGAGTAAACCCTCACACAACAGTTGAGTGGATGCCCCGGTACTGAAGTGACCGCCGGCGTTGCAGTATCCACGGAAATACACCTCCACTTCGCCCTGGTTGTTGAACGCACGCACGATTCGGCAACTGGACGTTCGCAGACGTACCAGGCCTTGTTTCTTGTATTCCGGAACCTCCTCGATCTCCACCGAATGGTTCAAAAAGTAGAATACGCGTTCTCCGTTCGCGTCCATCGTCATACCTGTAGACTCGATCACTACCACATCGCGTGGCTTAGCTACGACGCCACCTGCTCGGTAGGAGCTCCACTTGATACCAAGAAACCGGTATGGATCGTGCTGTGTGGGACCGCGGATCTGCGCCAAGATGCGCAAGTCCTTTACGTTCATGTCCTTGTTGGTAGCCGCGCGCATAATGCTGCGTTCTTCCGTGTCTGCTAGAAAGCCGAGTCCCGCGTCGTCCACGGTTCCTGGAATCACACCACCGCCGAATACCATGGGCGTGTTCGGTGGTCGGGACTTGCCTAGTACGCTCTGTTCAGGCGTCTCGCCATCTATTCTGCTGTTCTCGTAGTAGTCTGAGCTTCCGAGCGAGGACGAGTCGTCCTCGTACGACAGGTGCGTGTGGCTACGACCCATCAAGTCGCTCAACGAGCTGTCGGTCGAGTAGAGCTTCGGCCTGTGCACGAATGACGACTCGACCGCTTCTTCCGTCTCCAGTCGGTCACGTCGTGCGCGGCGCTGGCCGCGTGACCGGGAACGGTACGCCGTCATACTGCCTTTCTCCATAACGATTTTCCATCGCTCCATATCGATGGCTCGGTGATTGGAGATGAAATCCTCGCTGGTCTGTACGGTCTCAGCTACGAGCTGGTCGGCCAGTGTCTCGTACTGCTGCGTGTCCGTCCGGGTGAGTACCAACTCTCGGGGTGGAAAGAGGTGGCCGGCATCCCACGAATCTCCAAACCTCATGCTTTTGTGCCTGTGAGCGCTTCGTGAAATGAATTGTGCAGATAATAGTTCCGTCCTTTATCAACTTCACGACGTAAAAGTTGAAGAGAGTGCGCTGGTATTTTAGCGGGGACCTCGAGCTTTTACGGCTGGTAGTGGGAGGCGAGGGTGTCTCGGGATTCTTCAACTGAGATCGGTGCGACTTTTTCTTTGGTATCGTCGTCGCGTCGTGCCATGTGCGGCTTGATCCGATGTACATGTAGAATCGGTCAGCGACATCCGCTGGTCGATGGAAAAACGAGGCTCGAAGATAGCAACAGTGGCCCTCGGCGCCAATAAGCTGGCACAGGATGGCCGCGTGTCTGCCAAGGACATCATCTTATCAAGATTGTACGCCGCTACGTCGCGACAACAACACCAAATGGAAGGCTCAAGCCGATCCAAAGCATCCGCCAGGTGTGCTGTCGTCTGGGCGCTTTGCTAGTTCATGTACACATTGCTACAGTACAGTGCTGTACACTAAAGGTTACCAAAAACTACATGTATTGCTTCGCCGTTACAAACCCTGCTGCATTGGCCAGGTGTCTTTGGAGCTTTGAATCAAAGCTTGATCGTGTCTCGACCGGCTAACGTGTTTTGGTCGCTATTAACCCTTTCGCGGTAAAAGCACCGTTATGTCGGTGCTCATAATACAATCGGCAACCCCAACAAGAAAAACTTATGGACAAAAACTAGGACCAAAAGTTGATGACCTCAGTTTTGATAGATGCTCCTGGGAATGTATATAGAAATGTATCCCTGAATCAGCTCTCTACAATCATACTAGCAACTCGTCGTTAAGCCTACGCGTTATTGCATGAGCTCCTGTGCCGTAAGGTGTCTGGAATGACTTCCCGAGGAGTGTTTTGTCCGTAAGTTAAGGACAAAAGCCGTCAAATTCGATAGTTTAATCAGGTACAGTTTAAATTTCATACAGTGTGGCGTCCTTATATTCAAGGTCTTATGGACGAAATTACTTGGAATTTGGCGATCTTGCATCTTATTTCATCCTCAATTTAAGGACAGATTGTGTTGGCGCGTTTAATGGTCTTGCGCCAAGGTGTCAATGGGGGGGGGGGGTCCTGACGTCTCCCAGGGACAACGCTGTCGCACCGAGAGCACGAGGGCAACAAAACAAGGATAGGCCTCGTTACAGGTATCGACACCGTCGGCTCGACTCCTCTCGTCTGTTATCCTTTGGGACCTCATCGACGCAGTGTGTTGAGTGCTTCGATCAAAGCCGAGGCCGATCGCCAAGTTGCTGGACAATATCCGGTGAGTCTCAATCAGAGCCTCTGATTCAGAGGCAGCGATTGCGGGCAATAACTTGTGCCATCGTGATGAACCTTCACTGATGGCGCTGACTACAGTAATAAAACAGTATGTACATGTGCAATTCACACATTTTCTGTAAACCGCCTTGGTTTACACGATCGGCCCCACCGTGCCGCCGATTACTTCGCGGCGCCGTTGACTGCCACGATGGAAGATGGAACGGTCTTCCAAGGTCGTGGAGGATCACTGCAGTCTGCTGCGGTTCTTACATGCACGCATCCTCGGCGATACAATGAACACTGGTGAGCGTACATGCATAATTTAACTTCGAAGTACTTCAATACATGTTCTCGTCAACATGGGATAGACTCATCTTAACTATGATTTTCGCATTTTCTGGTTACGGGACGGATCTAAAGACCCAGCGTCGCTGAGAGAGGCGGCTCTACTGTCGATTTAACAGCTGCAAACGCAGTTGATGTGTCCTGTGTTGCCTTCATGCGGCGGTACATGTACCCGTAGAGCTTAAAGCCTTCTACATGTACAAAGTATTAAAGGGAGCACACCGGCCCGAGTTCGAACATGTTCTGCGATTCGTGGCCAACCATTTCGGTGCGTTGGCGATGCTGAGACGAAGTCAAGAACAACATTATCGGTACATGTACTAGTACCAGTATCTGTTGATACTGCCGTATTAATACTAGTAGTACTTTTTTACAAGTATACATGTACTAATAAAAAACATGTACTTCAGTACTACAGTAGTAATAATTCTGCTGTAAAATAGTCTTGTCAATTTGTTGAGCTTAATTCACGCCTCCTAGTCTTCCTTCCTACCATCTCTACTTTGCTCCTCTACCGTTTTCTCCTTTCGCTTACCGGCGCTGTTTGAGCTTGAGTTGCTGCGTCGCAACGTCCCACGCCGACAATTGTCGAGCGTCAATCACACACGAAACGCAGAATGTGAGCTGGCGCTGCAGGTCTTCTTCGGCGTCTAAGAGCAGCTTCTTCTGAACGCTACACTTCTGACAGATCGTCTGTCGACAAATAGCACAGGTGCCTCCAGTGCTGATAAGATTGCCAAATTTCCTAGTGCTTTTGCCACAGACACCACAGTCCTTCGTGGGGTGGTTGGACGCGTCGCTCGCACAACGGCGAGCCATCTGCCACGCCAGTTTCTTTAGGTAAGACGCCTCGACGATGCCCACCACGTCGACGACACCCTGAGAGAACACGTTCAATCCTATGACTGCGGGCAGGTTGCCGCCCATATCGGCATAGCCTCGGGCGTACACTTCGATCTGGGCGTCGGAGACCTGACGCATTATGTAGCAAATAGACAGGTTGAGACGGACGACGTTGTACCGATCGGCCAGCACGGGGCAGTCGTCCAGCTCAATTGAGTGCGCGAGGCTGTAGTAGACACGCTCGCCGTCGGAGTCCAGCGCGATTCCCGACGACTCAATGAATAGGACGTCGCGTCGAGACACAAAGGCGGCGATGTCGCGCGTGGCCCATTTGAGACCAACGAACCGGAACGGGTCTTCTTCGCTCGGGTTCTGAAACGCCGCCAGCACTTTGCGGGCGTCGAAGCCGTCATTCTTAACGTACGAATTGCGCTCAAACCACGCGTCGTCATTGTTCGCCAACGCCCCGAACGCGACGTCTTCCACTGAACCATCGATGATGCCGATCGCTGCGACCAGCGGGACGTGCGCCGGTTTTACCTTTTCTAGTACGCTTTCCTCCGGGAACACGGAGTACGAGCCGGCGTCACTCGACATGCTCTGTGTGTGCTGCGATTGCGACTGAGATTGCGACGTACTGCTCGCAGATTTCTCGATACTTTGCTGAGGTTCGTCGTCCTCTTCATCAGGGGTGAAGGCGTGCGGCCGTCCCGCCGCCTGCGCCTCCCGCTGCTGCTGTTCTATCGTATTGTTTGACAGCAAACGAGGTCGACTTGGCTGCTTGTCGTTCACGGTATTTAACCTCTTGGAACCGGAACGGCGCGTCCGATACACGTGAACCTTTTCACGGGACTTAACGTGTTTCCAAAGACGAGAATCGACCTGGCGGTTGTTGGCAATGAACAGTTCGTACGCACGCAACGTTTCGGCCACGACACGATCGGCTGTGTCGGTCAACGCTTTCTGACGCTCCTTGCCGAGGTTCACCCGGTTAGGGATGATCTTGTCCATGTCCTTGAAAACCATTGTGGAAATCTGTTCGGACACGTGCTACTCAGGACGGAGCAAGTGTTAAAGTGGCTAAGCCTGATGACGCGGTACTGTACACTGTGTACCGGTAACCTCGCAACAATGCAAACATGTTGGTTTGAAAGGGGGGGGCTGTACAATGTACATGTACCCTTTCAGTTCCGTAAGCTTACTGCAACTTGCTGGTTGCGTCGCGTCTTTCAGTCCTGTACCCTTTCAGTTCCGTAAGCTTACTGCAACTTGCTGGTTGCGTCGCGTCTTTCAGTCGCCGCTCGTCACTCTGTGTACTGTACCGGTATCCTACCGAGCCGGACATGTTCGAGTAGAAATGGAGCGCAGCATCTTATATATTCTTCTCCGCTTTTTCCTGTTGGCCTTGGTATCGTGCTGTTGAGCTTTTCGCCGAGCAAGATCAGGCTTACTCGTCCGAATGCACGCAAGAAGCGATTGGGCTCATGCTTCTTCTGATGTTGAAAAGATCGTGAGGCACACACCACCAAGCGATGTCTTTCGCGTGCGTACACCACAACCTGGCAATCCACACCAAAGTTTGGGAGACGTTGAAAACTGCTACATGTAACGCTACATGTATCCACTTGTACCTGGGTGAAGGTGGTCCTATGCCATGTTGACTTTTTTTGCATGAGTCAAGACGTCACGTCGAGACGAAGCACCTTCACAGTGAAGTTCACTGGCTGCGTGAGCTTTGTGCTGCGGCAGTCAAATCCCAGCGGGGATCACATGAAAACATCCGACGCAACTGCGGCCATCCTGCATTTTCGCAGCAACTCGACGATGCAAACAAGAGAAGGCAGAGGCTAAACGCTCCTGCACCAGACTTCCTCTCTGTTCAACATGCAAGTGCACGCAGCGAGGCTCCGCTTTGATGCGTCACGCTTATTTACGCGCGTTTCGTAGCTATACGTGGACGCTTATATTCTTCACAGTCTCGTACTTCGCTTCTGCGCTTCTCTCGACGCTCGTGGCTATTAATATTCTGCTCTGTGCTCCTTCTTTTCCTTGGACGCGAGTACATGCAGCTCTCGACCGCAGTCATGTGGCTATGAGCAGGGACGTCGCAACGTCCCACGCCGACAGCTTCCGTGCCTCAATGACACAGGACAGACAGAAGGAGAACTGCTTCTGGACGACGTCCTCGGGCGATACGATCGACAGCTTCTTCTGCACACTACACTTGCTGCAGACCGGCAGTCTGCAGATTGGGCAGCCGCTGCCGGGCTGTACGAGGCTGGAGAGCTTGTTGACGCTCTTGCCGCACACGCCGCAGTGACAGGATCGTGATTCTCCCGTAGAATCGCTCTGTCGACGGCGACTCATGTACCACGACAGCTTCTTGAGGTACGAACACTCGACCATACCGGACACGCCGGCCACGGCGGCAGAGAAGAAGCTCACGCTGAATCCTTCGGGCATGTCGCCACCCATGTCCGAGTATCCTCTGCAGTAGACGTCAATCTTGTCGTCGCTCAGCTGTCGCATGATGTAGCAGCTAGAGAGATTCAGGCGGATAATTTTTAGCCGGTCGAGTGTAGGCACCTCGCCCAGTTCTATCGAGTGTGCCAGGCTGTAGTACACGCGCTCGCCATCAGAATCGAACGCCATACCCGACGACTCTAGAAACACTAAATCTCGTCGAGTCATGAACGCCCCAAAGTCGCGCGTAGCCCATTTGACGCCGACAAACCGGAACGGATCCTCCTCGCTAGGTCTCTGCAGCACCGCGAGCACCTTCCGGCCGTCAAAGCCGTCGTTCTTGGTGTACGAGCTGCGCACTTCCCACGCGTATTTTGTGTCAGCTAGAGCTCCGAACGCCGCGTCCTCGACGAATCCGTCCATGACGCCGGACGCCTCGATCAACGGCACGTACGACGGCTTGGTTTTCGCCAGCACGCTGTCATCCAGAGTGAAGGAGCCGCCATCACTTGTTGAGCTGTGTGTGTTCGTTCGACTGGCTTCCTCGCCGCGATTTTCTTCTTCGTCGTCGTTCACGAAACCGAGCGGACGGCCGGCTGCGATGGCGTCGCGTTGATGCTGTTCGACGGCGTTGTTGGACAGCAGGCGTGGACGACTGGGGTCTTTCTCGTTGACGTCGCTGCTGTGACCGCGATGCTTGCTGCCGGACCGTCGAGTGCGATACACGTGCACGTGCTCGCGCGACTTGACCTTCTTCCAGATACGAGCGTCGACCCGCCGGTCGTTGGCAATAAAGTCCTCGTTCTCCTGCAGCGTCTCCGCTACGATGCGGTCGGCCAAGTCGGTCAGAGCCTGCTCCTGTTCGGGTGACAAGTGTAAGCGTTTAGGTAGGAAGGCGTCTGCCTGGGTGTAGCTCTTCATGATGAAGTCTCTGATAACCAAGCTGCAGGTTGAGTCAGCTTGATTTGAGCTAATGAAGAGCTCACGGCAAGTGAAGAAATGGCTGCGGGGATGTTTCGTGCGGCTGTCAACTTGACATGGGTGGGGAAGGGAGCCGGCGGCAGGAAGGAGGCGCATAGACGGCATCGTTCGCCAGTGAGCTGTGGCAGACAGCCTGTCCTCGCAGGTTTCAGTTTTCAAGCCTGGCTGCCGGAGACCGATGCTGGCTGCAAGCACAGAGCCTGCGCGGCTTGCCCGTGCTTCAATTCGCAGTCACGACTCGTGCTGCTTCGTCGCTGCTTGTTGAGGTGGTAAGGCAGCGTGACCGTGGTCGTCGCAATACGGTAGACGCCGTCTGCCTCCCACTGTGGCAGTGTGGGGGCGCGAAAGCGTTGGCCAGTGGCCAGCGCTGGTGACCGCTGGGCCAGCGATCACCACAGCGGAGCCATTTACCCTTGACAGCGTACACCGTGGGCGGGCGCACCGGGAGATTCATCGATCTGCGCACATTCTTGCCCGCAGTAACTCGCGTCGAATGTGATTTTACTTCGATGACACTAGGTATGATGAAGTACACGTCGAAGAGATCGATGAACCTGCTCGCTGTATATAAATATCTCGTTTCGCCAACCGGCCCGCTACATGTAATCTATTGCTATGAACTACGCAGGCAGGCCGTTGCTACCTCCCAAGCCGACAGCTCCTTGGCCTCGATGACACAAGACAGGCAGAACGTAAAAGTTTTCTGCGTGATCTCTGTTGACGCCTCGATCGTAAGCTTCTTCTGTACGCTGCATTTGCTGCACGTTACCCGACGACAAACCGGACATCCAGACGGGGACTGCAGCAGACTGCTGAGTTTGCTTAAAGACTTGTGGCAGACGCCACAGTCGCTTGATTGGATGATACCGGACGCGTCGCTGCGCCGACGTAGCGTCATGAGGTAGCTCAGCTTCTTCATGTTGGCGCACTCCACCACACCCGCAGAAGAAGTGATGTTGTTGGCGAGCAGCATCACGCCGTAGCTCTCTATCATGTCACCGCGGGGGTCTGCGAAGCCCTGACCGAACATCTCCACCGTATCATCATTGAGCTGACGCGTGATGTAGGCCACTGACAGTTGAACGCGAATAATATTATGACTCAAGTCGAGGCGTGGGCAATCATCCAGCTCGATCGAGTGAATAAGGTAGTAGAAGATGCGCTCGCCGTCCGAGTCAAAGGCCATGCCCTGCGACTCAAGGTACGTGAAGTCGCGACGGGTTGTGAAAGCACCGTAGTCGGCGGTAGCCCACTTGACGGTCACGGATCGGAACGGATCCTCCTCGCTTGGCGACTGTAGTACCGCCAGAATCTTCCGGTCGTCGAACGAGTCGTTGTGGACGTACGAATTACGCACGAGCCCGGTATTGGCAAGACCGCCATAAGCCACGTCCTCTAATGTCCCCCTAATCTGGCCAGTCGCGAGTATGAGTGGTACTTGAGATGGCTTCACCTTGGCAAGCACGCTATCGTTGAACAGCGAGAAGGATACGGCACCGCTGGACGAGCTGTTGGTGGTGGTACTGACCTCCTCATCAGGAATTGGGTCGTCATAGGCGTACGGTCTGCCGTACGCCGCCGCTTGGCGCTGGTGCTGCTCCATGGCACCGGTCGACATGAGTCTCGGACGACTCGGGTCCTTCTCGTCGTGCGACTGACTGTGCATCTTCTGTAACTTGCCGCGTCGTGTGCGAAAAACACGAACCTTTTCTTTGCTTTTGACGTGCTTCCACTGGTCACTGGGGAGTTGTCGGCCATTAGCGACGAAGTATTCGTACGTGTGCAGCGTCTCGGCAATGATACCGTCGGCCATGTCAGTGAGCTCCTGGTGCTTCGCCTTGGACAGCTGGACGCGGTCCGGGACTACGTTCGCCGCCAGTGTGGACTTGGCCATGATAAAGACTCGTTGAAACTTGTTGCGAATGCTGGACAAGTTTCGAAATGGCGAGCACCTCGGTGTGACCCAACGTCCAACACACAGCAAAAGGCTGCAGCCAGTCGGTCAGCAGACCAGCTGAGAATTCTCTAGAGATGGGCCAGAGACGCAGGCTCCAGCGCAGCGGCGTTGGGATGTCGCGATCGGTGAAAACTTTCGCAAACTTTTCGTCGCGGCGTTGTGGCATTAGGACGCTCGCTGGAGGTTGACACCGCCAAATTCCTTTATGAGCTTCATCCACTTTATCGTCGCTGCGTAAATGAGGAAGTACATGTAGCGTCGACGCCTAGATCGATGCGCTGGCGCCAAAATTGAAGAGCCTTGCATTTGACATGTGAATCGGCTGCCTGTCTGCCTGGACCTTGATGTCCGTTGCAGTCTCGTGCACATAAGAGACGGGAAGCAGATCCTTCGACGAATCCACGACGGCCAAAGTTGGTCATGTTTTTGGCTCGGTAAGCACTGCAAGTTGCAGTCTGCAACTGCAGATTGCAACAACGTTAGTCGCGGGCATGTACATGTACTACAGGGGTTCTTACCTGTCCCAACGTTTACAAGCGCGCGCATGTCCTCGAAAATCGTCACCCGCAGCGTTGTGCTTTGGGCGAAATGACGCTGTCTACTCTCGCTTGCAAAGCTTGAGCTCGATCCTGCTCTACCGGTAATTCCAGGTCTCGCTTAGTGAAACGAGGAACAGCCAAACCAGCCACATGTTGAAGTTGCAACGATTTTTCTGCCTGGTTTAAATAATACAGTGGCAAACGTCTATTCTATTGAACCAATTGGTCTCCGTTTAATTAAGGACCGTCAAGGCAGGCTGTGGCGACTTCCCACGCTGATAACTCGCGCGCTTCGATAACGCAAGACAAGCAGAAGCTGAAGTTCTTCAGTGTCATCCCTTTCGTCGCGTCGACCGCCAGCTTCTTCTGGACGCTGCACTTGCTACACATAACGCAACGGCAAATTGGACATCCCGACGGAGCCTGTAGCAGAGAGCCCAAGTTCTTAAGCGACTTATGGCACACGCCGCACGCGCTCACATAAGCGATACCTGACGCGTCGCTGCGGCGACGGCGAGACATCAACCAGCTCAGCTTCTTAAGATTCGAGCACTCCACGACACCAGCGCACGACGCCACGTTCTGGCCTAGAATGGCGATGCCGTGGCTCTCCATCATTTCGCCGCGAAGCTCAGCGAATCCTCGACTGAACAGCTCGACGCTGTGGCTGTTGAGCTGGCGGACAATGTAGCAGATTGAAGTGCTGGCTCGGATAATATCGAGACGGTCCAGAGGCGGGCACTCGTCCAACTGGATAGAGTGGATGAGGTTGTAGAATACTCGTTCGCCGTCTGAGTCGAACGCCATGCCCATAGATTCGAGATACAGAAAGTCTCGACGCGTCATGAACGGCCCGAAGTTGGCCGTCGCCCACTTGATGACGACGGATCGAAACGGGTCCTCCAGGCTTGGAGTCTGCAGTGTTGCAAGCAGCTTACGGTCATCGAACACGTCGTTCTTGACGTACAAGTTGCGCATCAGCCACCTACGTTTTGTATTGGCGACGGCACCGAACGCCGCGTCTTCGACGTTGCCGTCGATGGAACCTGTAGCCACTACGAGTGGCACGTGGGACGGCTTGACATCAGCCAAGACACTTTCGTCGAGTAAGGAGAACGATCCGGCGTCGCTGCTAGAGCTATGTGTGTTGCTGCTGATCTCTTCTTCTTCAACCGGATTGTCGTAGAACGGTCGTCCAGAAGTCGCGGCCTGCTCCATGGCAGTAGCGGACAACAGTCTCGGCCGACTTGGGTCCTTCTCGTCGTGGGACTGACTGTGCGGCTTACCGCGTCTTGAACGAAAGACGTGCACCTTCTCCTTGGTCTTGACGTGCTTCCACTGGTCGTGAGGCAGTTGACGCTTGTTGATGACGAACGACTCGTACGTCTGCAGCGTTTCGGCGACGATGCTGTCGGCCATGTCAATCAGGACTTGCTGTCGTGCCGCGGACAAGTGCACGCGTTCGGGCACGACACCCGGCGCCGGGATGCCCTTGGTCATTGCGTTCTGCGTTGTTGACACAAGTCAAGGAATGACGTCTAGAGGCCCACGCGATCTCACCGATGAGCTGATGAGCCTCTGCGCCTTGACTCTGTCATCGTGGATGCATAGGCACACGCCGTCTCCGGTAGAAAATTCGTGGCCGCCTTTGTCGCCGCGTTGTGGCTACAAAATGTAGCACACATTGTACTACAATGCCCCCAAAACTAACACCTTAACTTCGACGTTCTTCCCGATGCCAGGGCAGCGTGAGGTGTTATCGTTCGAATAGTGTCTGTTGCACTATGAAGGTGACCGATTGTTTTCGTGGTCTCATCTGTCTTCGAGGTGTCGGCAGCGCCAGTCGAACGCACACGACGCGCATAGAGCGGCTGGGACGGACGGCACCGGCAGAAGCTTGACAGCGCTGGACTGGTAAGCTGGGCTGACATGGATCCGCAACCATCGGCCGCAATCTAATTGCTCTGCGTCTTCTGCTCATCGATTCAAGTGGCCATCTCGAACTCTTCCGGCGTGTGCGGCTGATGAGTCCTTGGGCATCCTTTTCCTAAGCTTACTGTGTCGATTAAGGCGACGTGTCGACTCGACATTTCGACATGAACATGTCAATACGAGGCGCGAAAATGATGTCGGGCAAAAGATCGGGGAGACGATCTCAAAGTCGAGCTGTTGACGGCAACTTCCTAGACGTACAACTTGTAAATCGTGGACGGGAATTCGTTTGCAGGGTCTACAACTTTATCCACCACAGGATTGTTCGGTCCGGACACAGGCTTTGTTCTCGATGTCTGCTGAAGGTCTCTGTTGGGAATCCAGTGGTCTAGACATTCAGGTCGAACTGTGCTTTGTTGTTGACGCTTGAATTGTGCTCATGTGGTTCTGCAGCAACAAGGGCAAGACAAAAGAAATGGATCAACTTCCAACGAAGTTGTATAACACGTATAATGGATTTGATAAAATCGAACAGGAGACGCGCCTTTAAACGGATGACTCATGGGAATAGATAGTTGGATGCATTATTGTATTACGGTTGCGATCTCCGCACGGTTGCTGAGGCAAGTTCCCATGCCGACAGCTCCTTGGCCTCAATGACGCACGACAAACAGAACGTGAAGCTCTTTTGCAAGATCTCCTTGGTCACGTCGATCGTGAGTTTCTTCTGCACGCTGCACTTGTTGCACGTCAAGCACCGACAGATCGTGCATCCAGACGGCGACTGCAGAAGACCGAGCTTCTTCAGTGATTTATGACACACGCTGCACTCTGTCCCGGTCAAGGGTTTCGCCGTGTCGCTTCGTCGCACCATCCAGCTCAACTTCTTGAGGTTCGAACATTCGACGTATCCAGCGCAGGCAGAGACGTTGTGAGCCAGCATGAGGATGCCGTAACTCTCCATCATGTCGCCCCGCGGGTCGACGAAACCGCGGCAGAACATCTCGACGCTGTCGTCTTTGAGTTGTCTTGCAATATAGCACGTTGACATTTGGACACGGATGATATAATGGCGTTTGTCTAGAGGAGGACAGTCGTCCAGTTCGATAGAATGGATGAGATTGTAGAAGATTTTCTCGCCGTCCGAGTCGAACGCCATGCCCATCGACTCGACGTATAGAAAATCTCTTCGTGTCGTGAACGCTCCGTAGTTCCCCGTTGCCCATTTGATAGTCACGGACCGGAACGGGTCCTCTTCACTAGGTACTTGCAGCGTCGCCAGCACTTTTCGGTCGTCAAATACGTCGTTGTGGACGTACGAGTTGCGGGTAATCCAGGATTTTCTGGTGTTGGCGAACCCGCCGAATGCCACGTCTTCCACGGTGCCGTCGATGACTCCAGTGGCCACGACAAGTGGGACGTGACACGGTTTGACCTTTGCTAACACGCAGTCATCTGCTAGAGAGAAGGACCCATCGTCACTGGAGGAGCTGTGTGTATTGACACTGTCCTTCTGCCCCAGCGCCGTTGACGCTTCGTCGTCGTATACGTACGGCCGGCCTGAATTCTCCCGTTCGTGGCGTTCCATGGCGGAAAGCGACAGCAATCTCGGTCGACTTGGGTCCTTCTCGTCTTGTGACTGCCCTCGGAGTTTCAAGGTCCCTTTGGAGTGTCGAGACCGGTAGACGTGTACCTTCTCCTTGGACTTGACGTGTTTCCACTGGTCGTGAGGCAGCTGTCGGCCGTTGGAGATGAACATCTCATTCGTCTGCAAAGTCTCCGCTACGATGGCATCGGCCATATCAGTGAGGATCCGCTGCTGTGTCTTGGACAGGGAGACGCGCTCGGGCACGGCACCCAGGGGAGTCATGAAGCTTTTGGGCATAATGCTATAACAAGTCAGTAGATCTGCGACCGACGTCGGGAACGGAGCAAGTCTGAGAATGACGGACGCTGCAGACTTGCGGCGTGAACAGCTGAACGTATGAGGTGATGGTGGAGCTTGACTTGCCCGTTGAATCATCTTCAATTGGACCGAAGCAGCGTCTTTGCTATCCATATGTCAGTCGGGATTCGCAACATACATTTTAGGCCAGTTGGTTTGGCAACGGACACAGGCAATTACTAGGATGGCATTACAGTATCCATGTTTGTAGTGGCTACCGCAGTATACGATCCATAGACGTAGATCCTTCATGGCGATGTCGAACAAATTCGACGAAGGTCTCCGCTCGTATTATAGAAGACAGTAAGGTTGCAGCTCCTTGGCGTCGCTGTTTTTTTAAGTGCCGGATGCGCGGTATCCATCTGCTAGCCATAGAGCGACCGGCTGATATGCAGCGATGGCTCTGGACGGCGCTGTCTCGACTAAAACTTGCAGACGATTACTGAGATTCGTCTGCTGGAGGCGAACGAGTTCAACATGGCATTCTGCCACGCGCTACAGAAGCGCGTGGATACCGGGATAGCGGTAACTTGGATCAGTTAGTCTGTACGTTCGCTGATGAGTCAGGTACCGGATCCTCGCACTGTGGGAAGAATCCTCAAGGCGAAAGCTCGGGAACATGTAGCCTACCGCGTAAAGGTGGCTACGCTGTCTTCGTCAAGAAGATTCGACGCAAAAACTCTAAAAGCAAAAGTTGTCGACGGAATGTCGTGGCAGTTCCAAGGCTCGAAAAATCTTCAGCGATATTAGAGCCTGAATCCGCTCCTGGACTCTGCCCGCTACAGTGTCAACGTGAAGCCGAGGTACATTTTTAGTTGAGGTGTTTCAAGTTGGTTGCGTCAGCGACACCGTTAATGAATAAGCTCAAGGTTAAGCGACGCGTTCTACGGACGGTGTCTATGCGACGAATTGACCTTCGAGTCGAAGTTCGACGAGGAGAGTGCAGCACTGTACAGTAGTATTAATAGTAGCAACGCCTACATTTGATGTAGCTGTATGTCGTTGATCGCTGTTCGAGCTTGCTGCTCGGTGGTCGTTATTATAACATGTAAAGTGGGCTTTCGCTAGTGCGACTCCATCTGTAAATGTGCTCTTCAAAGTGCGGCTTTGATAGAGAGCCAGAAAAAATGCATATTTAAGTACTTCCTTTAGTCCGCTGTTGCTGTCTAGGAGCTCCACAGGCTAAATGTAACTACAAACCCTTATTTAACTAAGATACATGTATCATTAGAAGTATGTTTTCGTTGCAGTCGCTGTCTGCGCAGCCGAAATACCAGCTAGAACCGCTTTCGTGCAAAGCGCCCTACCGGATCACACAGTATACTTCCTAAGTTAATATGTATGGTGTCGCTCATCAGAGTGCACGTGAAGGTATATCGACGGCACTAGCAAGTAAACGGATATTAACAGCACAGTATTAATGGCCAGGAACAGTAATGTTAGAAACACACAAAAAATATGAAGGTTATTCACGGTGGGGTTTCGAAGATAAAGGTATTCCGGGTTGCTCCAGTGCCTATTGGGACTCCCAATTAGGAAGTCCCAGAGGTCCCAATTTGGGACCTCTCACCACCACTTTTATTTGCGTTTCTCCGCTTGCACAATGGTCGGTTGTTGGGACATATAAAAATAAAAGAGAGCCTTGTTTTCGCTGGAGGACATCATCCACGGCAAGTACAATCATGGACAGGGGGCGCGTAGAGCGAAAACTGTGAGCCTACGGCTGAGTAGATCGATGCCGTGCAACGTACTGGCAAAAAATTAGAAACTAGGCTTTTTCTTAGTGTCGAAACCTTAACTTTGAAGGTCAGAGTTTTTCCAGGAGAATCTACTGAATCGTGATGATGGAGTGGAATCTGGTCATCAGACACCGAAAATAATCATATTGGATGAATAAAATATAACAGGCAACCAATTTTAATTTTCTCTAGAAACTGGCCAATGTTTTTTTATCGTCTAATATCGATGGTTCTGATCCGACGGACAGGCAATTTGCCCCACCGAGTTAGTGACCCACGTACGCGGTACCGAGTCGGTACTACCGACTGGCTGCTGGCATTTCTTCACAATCAGATCTACGAGCGAGTGAGGCACGAGGTCCTGCGTTGGAGTCGTCTATTGCTCTGGACTCATTCCCAGATATTCCTTCCTGATCGCCAAGCATTGCACTCTCTAAACCATGAAATTCACGCTTCCAGTCGACGTATTTCCACCCGTGAAGCTGTCGAGAAAGCGCCAAGGAGCGTTAATTGAGGAGGCCGAGACGGTAGTGAGTGAAACCATTGCAGCGAACGAAGCTTTTCTGGCCCAAGATGCTCGGTTCCGCAACTCAACATGGAAATTCGTTCGCGTCAAGGAGGGACTGCACGTGTATCGCCAACGACCAACGTCTTCACGCACGCAAGTCATTCGGGGAAAGCGATTGGGTACAGACACTGAAGAGGAGACGCAGGTGTCTCCGTCATCTAAAAATGAGTGCAGTATTCAGGACACTATGAGAAGACCGAGTGTGTCGCTTATGGTGCTGCACGGTACAGTGGATGGCACGCTAGACGACTCGATGTTTGGTGCATTTGCAGCCTCCGACGAAGCGTGGAAGTGGCGCAGCTCTCACGTCAATGATCGTCTTGTTGATGCTCGTATCCTATCGACTATCAGAGGTCCGACCCAGAATGACCCATTTCTCTTTTTGGGTATCAAGTGGTTTACCAAGGAACACCCGACTGTGTTGACGGGAATTCTTCAGCGTCGAGACTTTCTCATTATGGAGGCAACTGGGCTCACAACTGATTCCAAAGGCGAGAGAATTGGGTATTTTCTGATGCACTCGGTGCCAATTCGTGGTGTTCCCAAATTCCCAAATTGAGTGTTTTGGGTATAGTGCGGGGCGAATTGAGTTTCTGCTTTATTCTGCGCCAAAATGGGCCCAGCAAAGTCGAGTTGTATTGCCGTGGATTCAGCGATCCTCACGGAGAGATGATGGAGCGACTATCCGTTGCAATTGCCTCGGAAGCTCTCATCTGCGCAGCTGGGGTCGTCACTATGCGTACGTCAAGAAACTCACGTGGTTGATGAAACACAAAAGTGCCCAAACGTTGGGACTATCTCGTGGAACTCGACCCAATTACTGCAAATCATGCAATAAAATTTTGGGTAGATTTACGCTTCTTGGCAAAGGTTGCGCCTGTCAGAGCTGCCGCCGCGTGATTTGCACACGGTGTAGCGTGGTCAAGAAGATGACGGTGGATGTATCGGACACTGGCACAGTCAAGCAGTGCGCGCTCCGGTTCTGCTTGGCCTGTTTGCTTGAAGCAAAGGAGAAATCGGCTTGGGAAATAGCGCAAACTGGCCTTGAAACCACACCAGAGTCTTCATCTTCCAGTTCGCCGTATCAACGTTACCACAGACGCGATAGTCGCTCGTACTCGGAGCACAGACGCTTTGGCACTCCTGTTTATCGCAAGGAAAATACGACTACAGAGGTTAGAGTTAATCCGGAACGAGTGGGCTCCTCTAATTCACGCTTGAGAGGCAGGGTTCAAGGTTTTCACGGTGTTAGACCAAAACATGCTCAGTCTGGTGAAGGTGACCGGCACATGTATCGAACGCCGTCGCCTTCGAACGGCCACGAACCGCTGCGAGCTCTATTCAGCGAAGCCCAAACGAAATGAGATTTGAACCGGATTTGCTGGATAACTACTGTAGTTAAATTTTTTATCGCAGGGCACAATATGATAAATTTGATATTATATTGGTTCCGGTAATATATTGATAAAAAATCACTTGAAGCTTTGATATGATTTATATTACTGCGAGCGCGAAAAGCAAATGTTTATATTTTACATGTAGTTGCAAGTAGGTCGATGGAAATGTAAATACAGTTTTTTTCTTGAATCGGGCGCTGTTTTCTTTTCGAGTTTTGATAGGTAAAAATTAATTTCTCATCAATGATTTAAGGGACGCACTACTGGACAGCTTGTGCCTGGATTCACTTTTGCATACTCGACCCACACATCATGGTATTTTGGTCTGCGGTCGGGAGCTCTTTATCCAGTACAGAATGCTGCAAAGCCTCTAGAAAACAGGCCTCCGGGTTTTCTTCGTCTCGAACTACAGCTTCGGGAATTTATATCGTGAGGCTTTTTTTTAGCCAAAACGGGAACGTAGCTCAACAAATTGACGTCGAGACCTGCCTTGTTGATCACAGAGTTCTCGTCTGCAACAAGCTCGATGAAGATACCGGTGACGGTGTATCGGTGAAGTTTAGTCAGTGCACATGCGTTTGGCCCATTCTAAAAACATGTATTTTTCATTGAAGTTCTCTTTGGTCGCCGGATTTGAGTTTGTAAAACAAATTATTTTTGATTTTAAAAATACACACTTGAAATATATAAAAATATTGTGAGTTCTAATTTAGAAAGAATAATCCTTCCGTTGAATTAAATACTTCGAAAGGATTTTTCTTTAAATGGTTTCAAGCAAACTGATGCTTGCGAACCCAAGTACGAGTCGCGATTTAAGCATTCGAAACGAAAGCGGGGCGTCTTATCTATCTTTTGAGCCCTTGAAAGCTACGAAGTGTTTAAAATTGAAGAAGTTGCGGTCGCCCAAAATATTTTCTCCATTTTCGAACCCTTAAAATAACGATACATTTGGAGAATTATATGCCCATTTTTTTAATTCTTGTGATTCAAGTTTTTCTCTTGTTTAAACATTTGTAAAAGCAATTGAACAAGGGTAGTTTACAATTTTCTTGATGAAAGTTTCACCAAAAGTCACAGTTTCAGCTAAGGTCGAAAATTAACTGGTCAGCTTTATCTTGATAACTCTAAATGGTTCGTAAGCATCATTTTGTTTGAAACCGACGCAGCAAATTTTGTTGTATTTCCACCTTAATTCGATCTCAAGACTCAAGAGGCTCTCAAATTGCTTGGACTTTGTATTTGAGCTACTCCACTGGCAAATTAAGTCGGAATTGACAGTACATAAAAAAACAAAGAAGCGATTCCGTCAATCGTTGCAAGCCCAACCTCAAACCTTATGAGCCTACACGTATAGCAATCTTAGCAACGATGGACAACAACCACAGCGCAGCAATTCTTTAGAGGGCTCGTCGGATATCTTCCACAAGTACACATTGATATAAAGCAGAAACCCTAGGATGCCCGTGATTTGCGCGAAAAACACTTGCCTCGCGACAATAGAGTTTGGATAGACGTAAGATCACAAACAAGGCGTTGATGTTATACAACGCTGGGGAAGCCTGATTTACGTCACGAAATACTGCTCAACGCGACGATAATAATTGTCCGAATGCATCCTAAACTTCTTAACGCGAAGATAAGCTAAGCTTTGAAACAAGAACTCATGATTCATGAGCCATGAACGGTTGTCGGCTACAGATACTGTATCTTAGCTCACAATTGTTTCCGCTTTCAAGAAAAAAGCATGAAGTTCACGCTACCCGAAGACACGTTTCAAGCTCTTAATCTAACTAAGGGAAAACAAGAGTCTTTGATCGCGGAGGCCGAGACTGTCGTGCGTGAGGCTCTAACAGCGAATGAAGAATTCCTTGCTGAAGGCGCTACGTTCCGCGACCCACGATGGAAACTGGTGCGCGCGAGAGAAGGTCTGAGTGTGTATCGACAACGACGATCGACTGGAAGCCCCAGAGTCTCAACTGGCGTGCAACGTCAGTCGTCGCCTCAAAGCTCGTCCTGGTCTTTCAAGCTTCGAGGTCGGGCGGCGAGTAACATGCGATGGGAGACGAGTACGGAAGGAGAAGCATCGGCCTCTCAAGGGAATACAACTCAAGAGAGAATGAGGCGTCCAGGGGTGTCCCTTATGGTCATGCACGGTACAGTTGACGGTAACCTGGCCGACTGTATGTTCGGCACCTTTGCGTCTACAGATCAAGCCTGGATGTGGCGCAGTTCCCACATTAATGACCGACTTGACGATGCTCGAGTCCTTGCCACTATCCGAGGACCCACTCGTAAAGACCCGTTCCGGTTCCTAGGCATCAAGTGGTTTGCTAAAGAGCATCCTGCGATTCTATCGACTATTGTACAGCAACGTGACTTCCTCGTCATGGAAGCGACAGGGCTTACGCATGACTCCAAAGGAGACACAGTTGGCTACTATCTCATGCATTCCGTCGCGTTACCAGGCGTTCCGGAGCTCTCCGACATGGGGATCATCCGTGGACAAGTGAGTCTCTGTTACATCGATCGACAGAGCGGGTCTGGTAAAGTAGAACTATTTTGTCGTGGATTTAGCGATCCTCGTGGTGAGATGCATGATCGCGTATCCGTAGCAATCGCCTCAGAGGCGCTTATCTGTGCTGCTGGTGTTGTCGACTATGCCTACATCAAGAAGCTCACGTGGCTTATGAAGCACAAGGGCCGTCATCGAGATATCGATGAGAATCGTCCTACTCGCTGCGAGACGTGCGATAAGAGCTTCACAAAGTTCTCGTTGACTGGTGCTGGGGTGGGCGCCCCGTGCCGGATCTGCAGTCTTGTGGTGTGTAGCAAATGTAGTGTCATCAAGAAGATGACTGTGGACGTGTCGAGTGCTGGATCAGTCAAGCAGTGCGCCCTTCGATTTTGTTTAACCTGTCTGCTGGAAGCGAAGGAGAAATCGGTTTGGGAAATGGCGCTGAGCGGCGTTGAAACGTCATCGGAATGCTCGTCGGCTTCCGGCTCAACTCGAGTTGCGTCGTGTCTGTAAGAAATAGAATAAATGTTTCCTGTTTTCACTTGAAATACCATTTTTTTAAATAGTTGCCGAAGATAGATTTAGACTTTTTCCAAACTTTTGTTTAGATCTCACTATGATTTTCCTTTTTCGAAGCTGACGACGTCTCTGATGCAGTGTCGACCCCAGTCAGAGCCATTTCCCACACACACTGCTCCTTTGCTTCATATAGACACTCGAGACAGAACCGTAGCGCGCATTGTTTCACTGCGCCAGTGTTCGACACATCTACTGTCATTTTCTTGACGACGCTGCACTTACTGCACACCACGCGGCGACAAATTTGGCAATCTGCACCCATTCCAGCGCTCGAAAATGAAAATTTGGCAAAACTTTTGCCACAGCTTTCGCAACATTTGGGTCGAATCTGATGCTCATTCGACGCACTTTGACCGCCTTTGTGCTTCATCAGCCACGTCAGCTTCTTGATATACGCGTAGTCGACGATACTGGCAGCACAGATCAGAGACTCGGCGGTGACGGCAACAGCCACTCGATCAATGATTTTGCCTCGAGGGTCGCTAAAACTGCGACAGTACTTTTCAACTTTATTTTTCCCACGCTGACGATCGATGAAACAAAGACTCAAATCTCCTCGAAGAAGACCCAATTCGTTTAATTCCGGGACCATTCGAGGCAGTTTGATGGAATGCATGAGGTAGTAGCCCACTTTTTCGCCCTTAAGAGTCCACAGTAAGCCCCGTGGCCTCGAGAATGAGGTAGTCTCGCTGTTGAACTAGACCCGTCAGGACAGCAGGACGCTCTTTGACGAACCATTTCACGCCTAGAAAGCGGAATGGGTCTTCCTTTGTAGGTCCTCTTATAGTCGCCAGTACACGCGCGTCGTCAAGACGGTCGTTGATATGGGAGCTACGCCACATCCAGGCTTGATTTGTGGCGGCGAAGGTCCCGAACATCGCGTCATCCAACTTGCCGTCCACAGTTCCATGAAGAATCATCTGGAATCCCGCAGGACGGCGCATTTCCTCCCCACATTCTGACGAAGATACCTCGATATCGCAGCTACTGGCTCCAGTGGGATCAGTAGCGTGAGATTCGCTCAAGATGACGGGCGAGAAGGAGCTCTGAAACCGCGGGCGTCTAAACATCCGAGAGCTTTTTGGTCGTGCTAGTTGATGATGATACACATTTAGTCCGTCTTTTGCGCGGACCAATTTCCATCTCGGGTCTTTGAACGTGGCCCCATCAGCGCGGAAGGCTTCATTTGCAGCGAGAGTATCTCGCACCACCGTCTCAGCTTCGTCGATCAGTTCTTGCTGCTGTTCCTTGGATAGAATTAGCTCGGGGAGGGCGTTTTCAGGCAACGTAAATTTCATGTTTCGCCCGTGACTGGGACGGCAAAAACACTTGTGATCCCTTCATGTGGTCGAACAGCAGGCACCCCATGCAAAGCACAGGAATTGTCTGAGGGTGTGAGTTGAACAAAGAGCCGTTCGAGGGCCCACCAGATGATCAAGCTGACGGCCGGGACCAATAGTGACTTCTTAATTACCAGTTGATGCAGAAGCAAATGGTTTGGCGGACGTAAGTTACAGCTTCGAACGGACCTCGACGATGGTTGCTTACGGTGTATCAGTCAGTGATACACGCGCCGCGCAACGCGCGTCGCGCGGGCGTGACGGTATTCACTTGTTTCGACTGAATAACCAGCCGATAAATGGGCTGAAGAAGCGTCAGCTCCAAGCAGCATGTTTTCTCTTAGTGCTTTCGGTATCAATAGTATCTATCGACATGTGCTGTTTGTTGAGACAGAAGAAACATTCTTTGTTAAACCGTGTGCAATACCACGTACGCAACGTTGAATTTCACAAATCGTGGTGCCTGTCGTCAAGCCGCGTGAAGCGCTCGGTGTGACCTGGGCAGATGGTCCAAGGCATCTCGACTGCAACGTGGAGATCAACGTGTCGTCAATTAAAAACTGTCTTGAGCTTGCAGGGTGTCTGTAACGGGGTACAATCCAGTGTGCCCCATGTTACATAAAGAGTGACCCGTCACTCTTGTGGACACCTGATACACGGTACCAGGTGCTCTCAGTGCATGACTACTTAGCTTCACTATAGGTAACCTCTAGTTTGTATGAGACCCAAGCTTATCTTACTTATACCGACTTCTCCATGTTGTGCCGGACACCCTATCTACACCGATTGGATCCATAAAAAAAAATTTGAACTTCAGAACAAAAAATGAGTCTATTGATTTGCTGTGCTTGTTTCAGATTCCAACCCTGGTCTATCAAAATCCGCGTCAGAATCGATGTCACCGTAGCTTTCGTCTACAATATGCAAGTTGTGGAGCTCGGCGATCACGTCATTAGCAAAGTTGTCGTCCTCAACAGCAGTAGCCATTTGACGAGAATCTACATACGGATATCCACATTTGACATCGTTGTGCTTTTCGAGGTGGGTCGCTGCATCGAGTTTTAGTTGGTTAGTGTATGATCCCACCTTTCGTTTAAGCGGTTTACGTCCGCCATTCTCGTTAAGGCGTGGGCGACCTACAGGCTTCGCCCGCTGGGTGAGTTCGTCTGCCTCAGTTTCTTCAGCATGAGCGCCTTCCATTGAATCTCAGACTGCGAAGAGACGGTGGAAGAGGCACGACTCTGCACTGTCCGGCTTAACATGGAGACAAGAAAGGCCAATAATAAAACAATTTTATTGGTAGAAATCGATTGTCCGTGTTAAAAATCGTCCGGCACAACATGGAGAAGTCGGTAAATACATCAGTCTTAAATCTACTCCTCTAAGTAGCAAACCGTTCCCACTGAGGCCGGGAACACGTGGACTTACGTTCACTCGGGTAGTTAATACCCTTAAGCACTTCCTCTGTGCAAGGTGCTGTGTGACCCCGTCACACTTGGTAGCACTCGTAGTCAATCCAACACCATCGCGGGTGGATTGAGCTACCTGAATCCTCTGTGCGCTCAACGTTTGAGCCAAGATGGACCGAAGCGAGTTTCCTCGCTTGAACGACTCACAGTACGAGTCTGTTCGGAAGATGGGAGGCATCTTTGGACAAGATGTCCTTCGCAGCTTGGCGGCGGCGACGCCTGCCGAGCAACAAGAACGCGTGACTGCGTTTGAGACCTACGAGCGTGGTCTCATCGCTCACGTCCGCGGGAGCTTGGAGGCCACGATGGCCGCTCCCCAGGCAACCAGGCCTAAGCCGGTGTGGCTGAAGGTCCCCGCGTTTGAGGGGAAGGAAGGAGAGAACCTTCACTTCTGGGTCCGTGAGGTGGAGATCGCCATGAAGGCGGGTCTCATCTCGGACGAGCCAGTTCGGGTGGCGTTGGCCCTGTCCAACCTTGGTGGACGTGCCAAGCACTGGGCGTACACCAGGGAGACGACATCTCCTGGATGCTTTGCATCCTGGGCTCAGCTGTGTGAGCAGCTTCGAGCCGCGTTCCTACCGGCGAACAACGAGTTCCGCCAGCGCTCACGCTTTCTCGCGTGTAAGCAAGGCAAACGTGAGCTGCAGGAGTACGCGCAAGAGATGCGCACGTTGGTGGCATCTCTGGCAGGGAATCCTCTGCCTGAAGACATTAAGACAACAGTCTTCATGGACGGCCTGAAGGTCGGTCCTGCTCGCACCCAGCTATTACGGGTGCAAGCGACAACTATGGAGGAGGCGATTCGAATCGCCCTCCAAGAAGAGTACAGCCACAAGCAGGCTGGTACTCTTCGGGAAGAGGATCATCGCCGCGATGAGAATGGCGTTCCTCGGGAGGCGGAGCATCGCAGCAATGACGCTGTTGCTCCTGCTGTCACGCAGCCCGTTGATACCGGTGCGTACAGCGAGCCCGAGCCCATGGACTTAAGCTCAGCCGAGAGGTTGGTCCGCTGTTATGGATGCGGCGGACACGGACACTACCAGCATGTGTGTCCCTCGCTCGTCCTCGGGAAGAAGACAGCCCGTGGACCCCAAGTCCGGTGGCGCAGGCCACGGCCAGGTGGACGAAGACTCCCCGGCTACCAGTAGAGGCGGTATGCCCTACTGAAGAGCGCTAAAGCGTGCGTGATGGGTGTGCAGGTTGTGCGCACCACGGGACTTAGCCCAGAGAGACGGGGGTTCTCTCAAACCGGCGCAGGCCAGTGGTGGGCTGCTGGCAGTACACTCCGTGTACGGCGGGTACGGTACCCGTTGAGCGTTTGTTTGGGTCTGGGGGCGCTTGATACCCCGCTGGGAACGGCGCTTGGATAACGACATTCGACTGCACTCTATGTCAGAGTGGCGGTCATGGGCTGGTCCTTGATGGACTAGCCTTTGGTACGGTAGTATCAATGGTCCTCAACGGACCTGAACGTTTCGGCTCGATGAGCTCGCGCACCGCGGTGTCGCTCGCAGTTCTCGCCATGAACAACATGGCTGTGCCGAACATAAGGCACAGCCCGGACTTTGGTGTGGCAAGGCTGAGAAGGGCCTACCAGTCCAGGTCTATGACGGAGCATTGGTGAGTCATGTTCCCACCTCCGTCATGACTGGGGCGTCTGATACAGACCGCCAGGACGCAGAAGCGTCACGGAGCTGTCAACGCGCCGACAGCTCTGCGTACAGCAAGACCATGCTACGCTGCGGCAATGCCACGGGCATGGGCCTTTTGCCCGGCGTGTGGACCTGCTACACCAGCAGCGTCAAGCCGCAACGGTCGTCGCGCCGTACGGGCTTCGACAGTGGTTATGTCTTTAAGCGCTAACCAGGTGGGTAACTTAGGACCACACGGTCGCCCAGACCTTAACTGAAGAGGAAGGCACTGAATGCGCTTCCTGTGTGGATAACACAGTACCACACGCAGTCGCCCAGACTATAACTGAAGAGGAAGGCATGACCATGCTTCCTGTGTGGGTAACACAGTACCACACGCAGTCGCCCAGACTATAACTGAAGAGGAAGGCATTGTCCATGCTTCCTGTGTGGGTAACACAGTGCCACACGAGGTCTCGAGTGCCTCTGATGTCGTCAACGAGACATCACGACGTGGGTAACGAAGTGCCACGTCACGTCAGCCGCCGCAAGTCGGGTCTGAACCTTGTTCAGGCCGACGTCGCTTCAAGCGACTCGGAGTCCAGGGCCCGGACTCCTCTGACTCGGTCGGTGGACACCAACTCTGTCCGGTGTGTGGGCGGGTCTGCCACACCAGCCGATCCCAACACCGAAGGTCGTCGCGCCGTATGCGCTTCGACAGTGGTGGTGCCGAAGGCCTGTCACCAGGTGGGTAACATAGGTCCACACTGCGGGTAACAAGCTCCGCAAGCAGCGAAGCTGCTTAGGGAGACCGACATTCGGTGCTCCGAGCGTGGGTAACCAAGTTCCACGCAAGGTCACTCAGACCATAACTGATAAGGAAGTCGCTGTATGCGCTTCCGGTGTGGGTAACAGAGTTCCACACCCAAGGCGAGTAACATAGCGCCGCACACAGAGCCATTGGCTCGAGGCGCGAGGTTGTCTTGGCCTCGCTGGACGTGAGCAACTCGCTCGACGTCAAGTCGCGCAGACTCAAAACTGCTGACGCGAAGGCTGAATGCCTTCGATCGACACGGCCGACGCGGTCGACCATACCGACGCAGTGCACATGGCGGAGAGACGTTGCGCCTGCCAGTGGCTATTAGAAGCCACGAGAGACTCAGTAGTCTCGAGGTTAAGCGGGGGAGAGGCTCGGAAATACCTTTCCTCCCTGACTTTCCAAGAGGCAGGTAGCCGTCGTGCTGTCAGTGGCTATTACGGCTCGGAAATACCTTTCCTCCCTGACTTTCCAAGAGGCAGGTAGCCGTCGTGCTGTCAGTGGCTATTACAAGCCACGAGAGACTCAATAGTCTCGAGTGTAAGTGGGGGAAAGGCTCGGAAATACCTTTCCTCCCTGGTCTTGAGGTAAGACCAAGTTTCTTACGGAACCAGGCGTCGATGTACATCGACTGCAGGCTGGAGGCGAACAGCCGGGCTAGAG